ATTGGACTGCCACATTTTCTTTAGATTAAAGAATACATGTGATTGAAGACCGAACATTGGGGGCATAAAAAATTCCCTATTTGAAATCAAGAACATGTCTTACACAAGAACGTCTTAGTTGGGCTCCAGATCCATCTTTTTCAGAGAAATCGAAGAAAAGCAAAAAGAAAGGAGGACGTAAAAACAAAAGTTCATCGAGAAGGAAGTTTGATTATCCGGATCCAGCTACATCGACATCTGCTGACATGTGTGCAGCTCTTGACATTCAAGATGTAACGATAGAATACACTGAAGAGGACTACAGCACTATCACCAATCTCAAGGTAATTTTTATCTAGGGTAAAGAATCATTCAAGGAGATAAGCTTGCTTTCTCTTTGTAGAGTTTCATTAATCGCGTACGTCCCACAATCCTTGAGTCTAATCCCAAGTGCAATGCCACGAAGGTCTATCCTCTCATACAAGTGAAGTACCGCGAGTTTCAAGAAGACTTAGCAGCTCAAGGACGATCTCAAGCTGTAAAGAAGGCGGAGAAACGGTACTTTTGCGTGGTCTTTGAAAGCGCTCTTCACATTCATGTGTTCATGTCTTCTACAGTCCAAAGCCGCCGGTGGAACAGGATAAGCTGGTAGCTCCCATCAAGATCCGCATTTCCGCTCGAAAAAAGAGGAGAAACGATTCAGATGAAGATGGAGGTATAGTTTTCCGCCACTTAAGCTACCTTCGGGGCCCTTATTTCACGCTGTCCTGAATTTCGATAACAGCAGTGATTTGCAAACACTTAGGTGCTGCAGATAGTGATCAAGAATTCGAATCTCTTTTGAAACAACATGAACATCAGCTTGATGAGGAAGAAAAGGAAAAGGAGGAACGAAAGGCCAGCCGGTAAGCTTACATCCTCATCCCTCTAGAACTTCACCAACATCCGTGTTTCAGTGCGGCACAACGCGCCGACAGGAAGAAGCAAGCGATCGAGAGGCTTCAAGCGAATCGACGGGCTAAAAAGGCAAAAGGAGAAGAGGAGGAAGTCTCTGATGTTCCTCCATCATATATTTGATTATTTCAATACTATTGCAAATTTATTTAGATTGAGCA